GATTACAAAATGCCAATGGTGAAGTGAAAACCTGAAAGTTTCCTAAAGAGAGGAAACAGAAATGAGAATTTAATTGATATCAGTCTTTTAAATACAACTTTAAAGATAAAGTTCTAGGGAACTAGCAGTTAGCGTAATGGCTGTGTCACTGGACTCCCACGTAGTCGACCGCGGTTCGCGTCCCGGACCCGGTGGCTTAAAACTCACGCTGGGCACGTGTGTGTGCGTGTCCAAGATCCCGAGAGGAGAATGGAGGAGAAGGGATTGCGGCGTGACCATCCCCCCTGGGGGGTGATTTCTCGCTTTCTATCTCTATGTCTCTCTGTCTGTCTGGCGAGCACACGCGCCCTATAGCAAAAACCTCTCCAAAAAAAAAAAAAAAAGATAAAGTTCTATACTCAAACTGAAATGTAATTATGGGTTCATTTAATAAGATTTATTATGGTTTAATTCCCATACATAATCTCTAAAAAAATATTAAAGAATGTGTCCTAGCAAGAACAATAAATTCAAGGGGAAAAAAGTTGAAGCAGTGAGTTAAACTTCAAAAGAAGTCATTAAATGCATGTTATTGGCAAAAAAAAAAAAAAATCATGTATCAATATAAACAGATGAAAAGAACAATATGAAAGTATAATTATATAGTAAATTATATAGAATTTTACTATGATATAATATTATTATATTAATTATTATATATTATATTATGATAAATGTATAAATAAATATATTAATAATTATTCATAAATATGTAATTATCATTCCAAATCAAACCACAATTGATAGAAGGAATGGGGGGGAAATAAAAGAAAAGCCTATTAAGGTTCTCAACTTATTCATGAAGCAGCTACACAGGCTTATTACATATGTATTAATATTTACTATTAAAAACTAAATGTGTTAAAAAATTTATGAGTAATCACTAGAAAAACTGAAATAAAGTACCTACTGTCAACTATGAAAAACAACAAAAAATGTTTAAAAATTTTAAAAAACCTCCCCGAAAAAGAAAAAGTTAATACAAGTTAATAAAAGAATAAGCAAACATGAATAATTAGTAAATAAAAAAATGGTGATATGGCAAGAATGAGTACAAAAATAATCGGTAATCACACCTAATATAAACTTGCCTGAAACAAAAGACTTAAATTGAAATCAAGAAGCTATATAAAGAGTAAAGTGGGCTGGCTCCAAGGCATATCTGTAATATACTGCTCAAGAGAAGCTGGATCTTACAAGGCAAAAAGGTTCAAATCCTCATCATGGTTTGTCTGAAATATGCCAGTCACAAGTGCAAATACCCAAGATCCATCGGGCTGTAGGACTGGGACAATGGAATCATAGCATGAACAGACCCTGTGAAGGGCATGCTCTCTCTCAAGATAAAAACTTATGGGAACCAGCAATTAGCGTAATGGCTATGTCGCTGGACTCTCACGTAGTCGACCGTAGTTCGCATCCTGGACCCGGTGGCTTAAAACTCACACCGGGCACGTGTGCGTGCATGCCCAAGATCCCGAGAGGAGAATGGAGGAGAAGGGATTGCGGTGTGACCATCCCCCCTGGGGGGTGATTTCTCGCTTTCTGTCTCTATGTCTCTCTCTGTCTGTCTGGTGAGCACACGCGCCCTATAGTGAAAACCTCTCCAAAAAAAAGATAAAAACTCATGAAATGGAAATTTATTCCTTATACTGGCTTTCAGGTAACCCCTCTGTTTACAGCTCATACTTCACTTCCAAATCCCACAGGACTTCCAGTTACTTTCCAAGGTTCTACAGGGCAAAATGATTTGGTTCTTAATTCCATCTGTGGCAAGCATTAACATTTTCACCTCCTCTACATTAGTAAGTTAACACTTCTCTATATGCTCTACAACTTTAAAAAAATCAACTGACATTTACTCTTCATTCTTTTCATGTATTCTTTGTCCTCGTATGTTTATACCTTTTTATCTCTTTAGCACCATTTTATTGGAGTTTAGAAAGTGTCATAGAGACTTCCATTTCCCTCCTAATACAGTCTCCCCTACTTCCTTTGACTAAGAAAAACTCAATCTTATTGAGAATATACTACTTTGAAAAGTCACATGACAAGCCAATGAGATGTAAGTGGAAGTCACCAGACGAGGCTTCGGGGGAAACCTTGAAGACAACATACAAGTGACATGCTTCCCTGATATTTCCCTTCTTCCTGCATAAAATGTATATATGATGAAGAAACTTGGTCAACAATTTTGTCATCCTACAGTAACAAGCTCATAATGAGATAACAGAACGGAAAAATTAAAGGAGTTTGGGTTACGGATACTGTCATAGAGCCACTGTCTAACCCCACTACAGTAAGAAAGTAAGAATGAATTTGGCCTAAGAAAGTAAAAAATCATCCTTCTGGAATAACAGGCACTAATATGTCAGCTACAAAGTTAATAGGGAACGATGTTTATCCCAAGGACGCACCACAGCTGTAAAATATAATGCCAGTCCCTTTCTTTGAGTGGCCACTATTTTCTCACGCACTGAGAAACTTTGCTCTCTAAATCATGAACTGTCAGAAACTTTGCAGTTTGTAATTAGATCAGTAGGAATGAAATATCCCACTTATACTTAGAGGATCTAAATCATTTTGACAGAAAGAATCAACCTCGATTTACAACCAGGGAGCTGAATTTCAGAGAATATCAAGAAGAAACAACATTCTCCATCTCTTTTAACTTTGCTCCTTT